TTTTTTTAAACTCGTTTGGGTGAAGAAAATGACATTTCAATTAAAATGAAGCATACGATGACTAGTAATTTGGATGTCAATTTTATTAAATTAAAACATAATAGCAATTTTTTTTATTCGAAATAACTCAAATCTCGAAAATCAGTAAAAACCATAAACACAAATCCGCAGAGTTTTGTACAAAGAGCCAAAGCCAACACAATACAACAAGGAATACAAAACACATAATAAAATCAAATAATACATCACGGAAGAATACACAAATTTACATATCAGGAAAAAATAAAATAACCAAAGGCAAATGCAACCATAGAAAAATATCAACAAAGGGCACTCTCGAGGTACCGCCTTGTAGTCCAAAATCATAAATATCAACAACAACAATGCCCCCAGGCTATCACAAGTCATCACAAATCAATCCCCGACATAGCTCACCTTGTCTCGCCACGTGCACAACAATAAAGTAAATTGCCCGCCTTGTCTCGCCGCACACGCATAATAATATTTTCACCTTGTCTCGACACATGCGCACCCCCCCCCACACAAATATATACATGTACATAAATTAATAGTAATAATAGCACGGCAGAAACCTCGTGCAAACACCTGAACAAAACTTCCCAACAATATCACATCTCATAAATTGCACCTCAAGTGCTCAAATATTACAACGTATCACAGATTTGCACATCAAGTGCTAAAATATTATAACATATCACAGATTTGCACATCAAGTGCTCAAATATTATAATTTATCACAGATTTGCACATCAAGTACACAAATATTATAATTTATCACAAATTGCACATCAAGTGTTCAAATATTACAATTCGCCACCAAATTCAACAATACATTATTTTTCACAATAAGGAGCTCATAGCTCGACCATAATGTGCAAAAAATCTTAGCAAATATATTCGGGAGTGAACAACTCAATAAAATAATATTTCATATAAAAATCAAGGTGGCAATCACACCAAATCATTATATAAAAATAAATCCAACAAAACAAGGATTTAGGTAAGACAATTAAAGGATTTAATAAGTGCCAATAATTTCTAATTTAATACATAAGGGCGTCTAAGGATTTTAACCAATGTAATTTTCACATATAAACCAAGTATGTACTCGTCACCTCGCGTACATGGTTTTCAATTACACAAATTGCACATAAGACTCAATGTCTAAGGAGAATTTTCCTCACTCAAGGTTAGACAAGATACTTACCTTTTTGAAATTAGGCCCTAAAATTGCTTTCTTGCTTGAATTGACCTCCAAACACCTCATACCTATCCAAATTAATTGTACAACCTCATTAAAATTCATCGGAAACAATTCCAGATAATAATACGTCGATTTAAAAATTTATTCCAAAAAGTCAACAAAAGTCAACGTGGGGACCGCCTCTCGGAACCCGACATAATTTTCATGAAATATGAATACCCATTCCGATACGAGTTCAACCATACCAATTTTATCAAATTCCGATAACAACTCGACCTCCAAATCTTAAATTTTAGTTTTTGGAAGATTTTGCCAAAAATCTTGATTTCTTCCATTAAAATCCGAATTAAACGATGAATGTAATCATAGATTCATGAAATATAAAAACTTTAGGATATAGAACACTTACCCCAATCCATATGGTGAAAAATCGCCTAAAAATCGCTTCAATTCGAGCTCCATAGCTCCATATATGTTAAAAATGGCTGAATCTCAAAATATAGCTACTACCCATGTATTAACTCTTCGCAATCGCGGAAAATGCTTCGCGATCGCGAATCACAACTTTTCTCAGCCCAAAATTTGCCTTTCGTGATCGCGAAGAATAAGTGCCTAGCTCTTCTAGATAGCCTCTAGTATAATGGCCATAACGCTTTGTACAAAACTCTAAATTGTAAATGGTTTAACTTTCTGAAAACTAGACACCAAGAGCTATAACTTTTATTTGTTGATCATCTCCCAATTCCTTATAGATTGCTAGATATGAGCTTTCAAACTCAGCCCTATGCAACATAGATTTCCAAACTCTTCCTAGACAGTCTATAGTTTATCCACTATAACTTTTTGTATACAACTCTAAATAATAAATGGTTTACCTTTCTAAAAACTAGACACAAAGGGCTACAACTTTAAATTTTGGATCATCTCTAGATTCCTTATAGATTACGAGATATAAGCTTCCAAAGTTGGGTCGGTACAGCAGGATTTTCCTCTACGCGATCGCGAAAAGGCTTCCGTGATCGCGATTCACAGTGTCCAAACAACAAAATTGCTCTTCGCGATCGCGATGCATACCTCTGTGGTAAAAAATCAGCAACTAAAAATGGCCTAAAAATGGTCCGAAACTACCCTGAAATTCACCCTGAGCCACTCGAAACCCCATCCGAACATACCAACAAGTCTCAAAACATATTACGGACTTACTCGAGGCCTCAAATCATATCAAATAACATCAAAACGACAAATTGCACCTCAAATCAAAATATATGAATTTTGAACTTTCAAATTCTATATCTTATGCCGAAACATATCAAATCAATCCGGAATGACTTCAAATTTTGCACACAAATCATAAATGATATAACGAAGCTATTCAAATTTTCGGTATCGAAATCCGACCTCGTTATAAAAATTCAACCTTCGGTAGGACTTTTCAAAAATCTTCTATTTTTCAATTTCGCCAAAATGCGTCGAATCGTCCTACGGACTTCCAAATCCAAATCCGAATATACACCCAAGTCCGAAATCATCATACGAAACTATTGACATCATCGAAATTCCATTCCGGGATCGTTTGCTTAAAAGTCAACTCTCTGGTCAACTCTTTCCATTTAAGCTTCTAAATAAGAATTGTTCTTTTAATTTAATTCTAAATCTTTCGAAAATCAAACTCGACCACACCCGCGGGTCATAATACATATTGCGAAGCTTCTCGTGACCTTAAGTCATTGAGCGGGGCGTTAATTCTTAAAACGACAAGTCGGGTCGTTACAAAAGCATAATAATCAATTTGATATTGATGGTTTAGATACAGAATTAAAAATATTAAGAAAAATAGAACAATTAGAAGATAACAGTATAATTGATACACTCAGTCAACTAAAAAGATTTGATTCTTTTTTCAATGTCTATATTACTTATGGAATAATGTTAATAACTCTTGTTACCGCCGTTTCAGCGAAATTTTTTTTTTAAAATTAAATTATTAAAATCTTACCTAAGATCAACAATGTATCAAGAAGGGTTAAATGGATTAGCTATATTGTCAATTAAGAAAGACTTATTAGGAGTTATTGATTATAAAAAAAATTATTAATAACTTTGTATCAATGAAACGCTAGAAAAATAGATTTCAAATAAATAAATATTTTAAAAAAAAAAAAGTTAAGGCCCCTCAGAAAGTTTGACTTTAGGCCACAGAACTCGTCGAACCTCACTGCGTGCCCCGTACTCTAACACATGGATACGTCTATGGTCTTAAAGACTATGACAATTAGATGGAAGAAGAGTTAGCTGTTTTTAACCGAGTTAGAAAATGTATTCATTGCTTTGAAGACTTTGACAGGCGAGAAGTGTAAGCAATTTCGCACTAAACAAAACGACTTTCATTTTTTATAACAATTATTAAAAAAAATAACATATTCTTAAAATTGCACAGCTAAATTCAGTTTTCAAGACGCCATAACATAAGAATAATTTGGTGTTAAGCAAACATCAAATTAAGCCAAAAAATGCTTAACCCAAACACCCTCTTCCTTTGCTTTTGAACAAAAGTCGTTGCTTTTATTGTTAGGACCTTTTTGTGGAAAAAAATGCTAGTAACTCATTGATGAGGAGCAGGGTCCACTCAGTTGTGGAAAAAATGAAAGAATTTGTAGCAGTTGACTCATTCAGCAGCACTACACTTTGCTTCCGGGTGCGGTTTTACAAAGCGTCTAAGCACAGTTCACTCATGTTAATCGGATTTGACGATAGATTTTGGAAATAATGGTTATTTATGAAATATGATCATGTTTTGAAAAAATAAAATTTTAAAAATTTCAAGTTCCCAAAATTGATTTATGATAGTTTTTTGGGTAAATTTTTTTTTTTCATTCACAAAACTTTAACTTTTCTTCAAATAAAATGCATGTTCAAACACAAATTCTTCTTTTAAAATTTAATTTTCAATACAACTTCAATATTTTTTTTAAGTTTTAATCAAATTTATGTCCAAACGCTAGATGGGTAGTTTTAATCAATCAATTTCTAAAGTTTCTAAAATTTTATAGTACAGTTCTTTGCCTTCGTATTCTAGATGGGTAGTTTTCTTTTGTTAAAAATAATATATTTTTAATTGATTTCTTAAAGTATTCATCACTATTTGATTCAATTATAATCAATATATCTTGGTAAATGATAGATTTCTCAAAGGGCAATTGATTTGATAGTGTTACGTTGAAAATGTAGTCGCCGGAATATGTGTTTGGTAGTGTATGTCTCATATTTAAGAAAAAATCGATAAATAACCGAAAAAACAGAAAAACTGACAAAATCCGATATAAACCGAATCGATAAAAACCCGACTTAATTTGTTTGGTTTGGTTCTAATATTTGAAAAACCAATTTACTTTGTTTGGTTTCTTTTTAAGGAAAAATCGATCAAAATCGGATCATGAACACCCCTAGACATAACATTTGTATGACTATAAAAATATTTCATTAGGGATAAAATAAGATACGTGAGTTTAATTGTATCCGTATATAAAAATATGTAATCTTTTTTGAACGGAGTAAAAAAAAATGCAGTCACATAAATTGGAAATGATGAATAATAGAGGGGATCTCGAATCTGAGTTAGTCAACCAATAGATACAAAATATAATTAAGACCAATCAATACAATATTCCAATAGAATATCTTATATTAGACCAATGAATATCCAATATGCTACTAGATTATTACTATTTTTTATTTAAAAAAATAGAGGAATTTTGACCAAAATCCAATTTGTCCGCCATTAAAGCAGTTTATTTTTTCTCATCTAACTTTCATTTTCCATCGACTTTCTCGGAAACTTCAACCAATTCCACGTCCCAAAGTCCATTTCTCACTTTCCCTCTCATTTCACTGACACTGACCCGCAATATACATCTCTATATAAATTCATTTTCATTTTCACTGAACAAAAATCAAAACAGTAAAGGATTTTAGCTTGTTTTTCATATTAATATTAACAATGGCGACTCAAAACGTTCTCGTAATGAGACACGGTGATCGGCTAGATAACTTCGAGGAGTTATGGGTAATGAAAGCGGATAGGCCGTGGGATCCACCATTGCATCAGGATGGTAAGATCCGACCTTTTTGTACGGGTCAAAAGATCCGATCCAATATGGATTTCCCGATCCATCGGGTTTTCGTTTCCCCGTTCCTCCGATGTGTACAGACTGCTGCTGAAGTTGTACGTGCCCTTTGCGACGTTGCGGATCATAACTGCGAGGCTAATGTCTTGTCCTCTAATTCTGAATCCGTTGTCATCGATCCTTCCAAAATCAAAGTAAATCTTCTTACTTTTTCTTTATTTTTGCTTAATTTTGGAAGGATTATATTTATTTATAAGTTTAAGTTATATGCATTGAGGATGTAAAAAGCATTTAAACTATATTAGATAATTATGGATAATCTCTTATAAGCATTAATAGATAATCATGTAAAAATGATAATCGACTTGCTATCGCAGGTTAAAAGTCACTAATAGTGTACAATCCGCCATGTATAACACGTAAATCCTTTACTTATTTATGGTTTTAAGTTTAAGGTGGAGGGAATCATCGTGTTAGTAGTAATTAAGGTGTCTTAAGCTGTTGATTATGGACATATGACTGTTTATCAAAAGACAATAGCTGAAGGTTGGTATATTCACTGTATTGCAAGCTTGGTTGCTGGATAATGGTTTGAACTTTGGTGTCGATGGGTAGAAACGAAGTTGGGCTCCGTGGAGGGTGAACAATAATTTAAGGAGTTGGTTCACCAGTCATATTGAAGGGGAGCCTTGGCGTAACTGGTAAAGTTGTTGTCATGTGACCAGGAGGTCACAGGTTCAAGCCGTGTAAACAACCTCTTGCAGAAATGCACTTGTCGTCCGGCCTTTCCCCAGGCCCCGCGCATAGAGAGCTTAGTGTATCGGGCTGCCCTTTTAGTTCACTACTCATATTGCCATAGTCTTTTCAGATCCTCGTTCGTCAAGGATGATGTTTGGTGATTTGAGTAGCTCTGATCACGGCTGTCCTCTTAGCTCAGATGTCCACATTTTGTATGTAGCATTACCAATACGTCCAAGTCAACCTGAATCCTAGCTTGTTCAACACATTGTCATTAGTGATTGATTGCCTGTGTCTGATATAAGTAACCACCAATTTTCAATATGGTTGTGCGCCTGTGATCAGTATAGTCGTGTAAGCTATACCGGGACTTAGATCTGAATATGCTGCTTGTTGCATACTTGATATGGCTCACTTGAGTCTTTCAAATTTCAGGTATCCATCGAATATGGTTTGTGTGAAATGCTGAATTTAGTAGCCATAAGAAGTAATGCAGCTCCCAAGGATGGGGACTTTAAGTTCAATATCTCACAATATGAAGCTGAGTTGCCAGCCGGAACTGTAGATCACACTGTTGAACCTGTTTATAAGAAGGTATTCTGTAGGATATGAGTTCTTGCTTCAATCTATGACATGGTTTATATGCATGATCCGCTGTTTCTTTAATCATTGATCATATGATTCTGAATTTACAGCTGCCAGAGTGGCAAGAGACATTGGAAAGTGCAAGAGCTAGATATGTGGAGGTAGTTAAAGCCCTTGCTGATAAGTATCCTTCTGAGAACTTGTTGTTAGTCACACATGGTAAGTCTTCTTGCTTGGTTTTGCGATCTCTAGTGCAATGTCGGTTGTGATGTGGTGAGTGAAGGCTTCTGTTCTCCATAGAGCACTCGTAAGAGACTACTTGTTTTCATGTCAAAATCAGTTTAGAGATGTATTTCAATTTATATGTTGTACCTTTGTCGGTAGCAAATGTTGTTTCATATTGCTCGTATGTATCTGTAGTAGTTTATTTCTCACCTATCGCATGTCTGGATTTCTCATTGCTTCTTGTTCTCCTTTTGCCGTTATATTAAAGCTATATGAATTTATGTAGTGCCATTGAAGAGAATATTTTTAGCAATGATTTCAGTTGGATGCCTTGAACTTTTCTGAAACTGCAAAACTTTTGTGTTTTGGCAATTAGAGAATGCTGGAGACAACCTTTGCTAATGAAAGCAACCTCTACATCTGTATTGTGTCAATGCTCTTGCCCAAGAATTTTCATTTATAATAAAACCATCTGCTAAACTGTAAATTGGCAGGTCTAGTAGTTGTGTTTTTTCGCCCCAATTCTGATTTATTATCAACTCTTCTTTCATTAATCCAGGTGAAGGAGTAGGTTCCATCTTTACTGAACTTAACAAGGATGCAACTGTACTAGAGGTAGAATATTGTGGACATGTGCTCGCCAAGAGAACTATCCAATTCGGAGAGAACCAATCATTTACTGCTGGAGAGTTTGTATACGAGAAACAAACCGGTATATTATCTGCTGCTAAATAAAAACAAGCCTACCAGACTGTAAGTGATTGTTCAGGATTTTCCCCTCTCTGCCATGGCTGTTACTTATCGTCCATTTGTCGAAGCTTGCTTGTCCATTTATATGTGTTAAGGTTTCCATTGATGAACTAGTTATCACTCTTTCCTTTTCTCCTTCTTTTTAAACTTCTGATTGAAAGAGAAGATCATGGAATTGCACTATACACTCTGTTGAAATAATGGCCTCTGTTCCAACCTTGTAATTGTGAAATCCCAAGATGCATTGCTTTGGAATACTTGCATCCCAATTGCAGTTGTTATTTTCACAGTGATAGTATTGGTAACTACTGTTTCCATGTCAAATTTAATATCACCTTTTCTTTGTTGGATTGTTCCAAACCAATATGTTCATAAACGAAAAGAAAATTTAAATTCTTAGTGTGGTGTTGTACCATAAGAAGCCACATGAGACTTTCACTCAAGGGTGTGATCTACTGATCAATGAAGTGGATAAAAATCTTGAAAATCAGGGTTTAAATCCTAACAGAGACAAAAAACGTTAGATGATTTCTTCCCATCTACCTAAGCCTTGTTAGAGTTACTCGGTATTTATACTGGTAGGAGGTAGCACATACTCAATGGAGTAATCGAGGAGCATGCAAGTTGGTCCGAACACCATTGTTATCCAAAAAGAAAAACAAAGACTCACCCCTCCAAAGTAGGCAAACGAGGGGCAATAAATACCTCCAAAGTAGTTGCCTTAGGCATATTAATGCCTAAGCCTTCTCTCATATCAATTGCCATGTTAGATGGTGTGCTAAAATCAAAACCTTGAAGCAAACGAGCAAAAGTGAGGAGTGTAACAATTGTTGCATAATTCATCCCCGGGCACGATCTTCTTCCTGAACCAAAGGGAATAAACTCAAAATTCTGACTCTGACTACATACATAGATCTTTTCTTGATAAAAATAAAAAGGGCAGTCCGGTGTACTAAGCTCCCGTTATGCACGGGGTCTGGGGAAGAACCGGACCACAAGTGTCTATTATACGCAGCCTATCATCAATCAAAAATCTCTCTGGCACGAATTTTTCAGGGTCGGACCAAATCCGAGGATCTCTATGTATCTTCCATGTATTTACGAATAAACGAGTACCTTTTGGAACATCATAACCAAGTATTTTACAATCTTTTGTTGCTTCATGAGGTACTAACAAAGGTGCAGGTGGATATAAACGCAATGCTTCTTAAATTATAGCTTGTAAATAGGCTAAATCTTGAACATCAGACTCTTCTATCCACTTATCTTTACCATCTTTTATATCTATTTCCTCTTGGGCACGTCTCATAACATTTGGATTGTTCAGCAATAAGGACATTAACCATGTCCATTGAACAGCAGTAGTATCAGCTCCATCCAAAATTATTGCCCGACACTGTTTAATAATTAGAGAAATGAATTCCACAGTAATTAAATCCTAGAACTAGGAGGATGTTTAATCTAAACAATTATCAACATATACATGCATGTTTAATGTGATCATAATGTTGAAAGATAATCCAACTAATTAGTAGCGTGATACACAAAGTTGTTGCGCTACTTTATGTTTACTAGGTACGTTTTATATATGTTAGTTTGATTCGCTTAAGTTATCTTATTATTCTGTTGTTGTTACTGTTTGTTGCTATTACTTTCTTTTTTTTCCCCCTTTTCTTGACTCGAGGGTCTATCGAAAATAGCCTCTACCTTCACCATGTAGGGGTAGGTTTGCGTACACACTACCCTCCCCAAACCCCACATGTGGGATTACACTGAGTTTGTTTATTGTTATTGTTATTGTTACTAGGGGGATTTGCAGTCGTACCCTATATTTGTGCCACCTTTTAACCTGTACCCTATTTTTAAAAATTATTGATTTGGTAGCCAGTTGACAAAAAATTCGTAATAATATGACAATTACACCCCTGATAGTATTAGCATTAGCATGCTACTTTGGATGACCTCATTCGCATTAGCATGCTGTAAAACAAGCCCTGATAAACGTGGCAGCATGCTAACGTTTGGAGATGACGTTATTTTACAGTACCAGGGGTTATTCATTAGCATGCGAGATGGTGTAAAACTTCAGCCAATTACAGTAGCAGCTGGAGTTGTTTTACATTAAAGCTAAAACTTCATGCTAATGCATGCTGAAGTTATTTATCCTGCAGTCAACAGTTTTGTTATGAGTTTTATCCAAAACTTCAGTCTAAACATGCTGAAGTTATTTAGTTCATTTGCTAAAACTTCAGACTAAACATGCTGAAATTATTTAGTTCATTTGCTAAAACTTCAGTTTAAACATGCTGAAGTTATTTAGTTTATTTTTGAAAACATCATACTAAACATGCTTAAGTTTTTATCTTGCAATATGTAATTTTCTAATGAGTTTTTTTTAATGCATGCTGAAGTTATTTAGTTCATTTACTAAAATTTCAGACTAAACATGTTTAAGTTATTTAGTTCATTTGCTAAAACTTCAGACTAAACATTATTTAGTTCATTTGCTAAAACTTTAGACTAAACATGCTGAAGTTATTTAGTTCATTTGCTAAAACTTCAGACTAAACATGCTGAAATTATTTAGTTCATTTGCTAAAATTTCAGACTAAACATGCTTAAGTTTTTGTCTTATAATATATAATTTTCTAATGAGTTTTTGCTAATGCATGCTGAAGTTATTTGGTTCATTTGCTAAAACTTCAGACTAAACATGCTTAAATTATTTAGTTCATTTGCTAAAATTTCAGACTTATCATGCTTAACTTATTTAGTTCATTTGCTAAAATTTCAGACTAAACATGCTTAAGTTATTTAGTTCATTTGCTAAAACTTCATGCCAAAACATGATGAAGTGTTGTCCTGCAATCTACAGTTTTGTCAATAGTCCTAAAGGGCAAAATCATCTTTTTAAAATGCTTTTAACAAAAAAATAGGTACGGATGCAAACGGAAAAACAAAACGGGTATAAGTTAAAAGAGGGCGACCAAATAGGGCACCCCATGCAATTTTTACTTGTTACTAGGTACATGTCTAAGTCTTCTATCATATAAGCCGGTATAAACAATCAGGTTATTTATTAAAGAAATACGAATAAATCTCTTGATAAACAATAATTGATAATCTAGTAAAGATGGTAACTAACATGCTATCACATATTAGAATTCACTGATAATATTTTTTAAAAATTGCGCTTTCAGTGTATATAGCTTAAAAGCTTAAGAACATACCATTATCGTTGCCTTGATGACGGTTTCTTGAGAATAACCGTAAGCCTTAAAACTCATCATAATTTGTAGGGTGAAATTCAAAAATAATCAGATTTATAAGTGGTAATTGAAAAATAACCACCAGTTTCAAAAGTAATCGAAATTTAGCCACTTTTCATGTAAAGATAAATCTGAACGAAAACACTGTTCAAAATCCGGAAAATATTCCAGCATAATATACTGGAGTTCCAGCATAATATACATACACAAGTGCTCCAATCTCCAGTATATTATGCTGGAACTTTCCGCGTATTGGAGTTTCAGCATAATATGCTGGAAATTTATACACACGTGCACCAATCTCTAGTATATTATGCTGGACCGGTCCGTGTTGCAGCAAAATAGTGGATATTTTTGAATTACCAGTCCGAAAACTGGCTAGCCCGTGCTATTTTTACTAATTTGTATCATTAAGCAAGGTATCAATAACATCTTGATTCTCATGATTATTGCCAATTTCTACCTTTTTAATATGGTCATCCACCCAATTTTGAAGAACACCATCTATATCTTTATGAATTCTCTTCATTAACTTAATATGCCCTTGAAAATCCAAATATTTAAATAATGGAAATGGAACTGCATCATATAGTATAATTTTGCCCTGCAACATAATATCCTTGAATACCCTTTTTAAACATTAAAAGCTTCTTCATCTTCCTCCACATTATTGTATATTTTCCCACAAACCATCTTCACAATTATGTTTAAAGACAGTACCTCAAACCATTGAGTCATGTTAAGTTTGGTACTTTTCATAATTTCACTTGCATTATTGTTATTTTTTCCAAGTTGCGTTGTAGAAAGTAAGTCTTTTATACTTGATTCCACCTCACAAATTCGAAGATGCTTCATTTTCTCAAGTCTAGTGCTAGAGAGCGCTTGTTGCATTACTAATTTGCGTACATGGCAATAATATGGATCGTAATCAGCGTGAGAAAACCTTGCATACCCATACGCAGTGTATCAACCCGTTGAAGATATAATTAAGTAATCAGAAGCGTGCTCTCTTTAACAATTTGAAGAGATGATCAAACAATTTAATATGGTAACGGAACAAGCACAAGTCCTAGGTTCACGTCACACCACACTAAAGAACTAGGGGACTTTTACACTATATAACTGCTCATCCAAAAAACATAGCAGATAGATGTATAATATATATGTATAGTTATGTAAATTATACATATATTATATATAATTAGTGTATATTCTATGTATATTGGTTAGCGGCTGTAAATTTTTTTGGCAGAACGACCAAATATGTAGCTTCTCCTATAAATAAAAAAAAATAAAATTCACGTGCTTGATATAAGGAAAAAAAGAGTCAGGCTCCCACATAGGTGGACGTACTAAGACACAATTAAGAAACAAGGAACATGCTATTTCTGACAATTTATACTTTTAGACGAGATGATCACACAAATTCAACATTACGTGCCAATGAAGTTGGCCTAGCTGCAAAGTCCTTATCATGAATTGTGAAGCAATCTTTAGCTCCTTCCCAATTGCTGATCACAGGAACATCCCCACCTGATTGAGAAAATTGGGCCGTTTTCATGGGCCATTGCTGCCAAAGTCCGAGCAAAAGGGACATTCTTGGCCCTGTCCAGTATGTGGAGATGCCCAATAATAGGCCATGCACCTGGGACTTCTGGGGGTAACTTTTTCTTTTTGTAGCCAATGACTATAATCTTCATCCCCAAAAACATTATAGGCAAGAATAGCAAGGCTAAAAGAATTTGATAATTCATTACGTATGAGAATCCATACTAGTAAATATTAGGGGGGGCTTGAGTTGTGAATACGACCCCCAGAACCGCTTTTGTTAAAACTCAGCAGTTTCTAGAAGACTCACTTCAGATATGATACTTTGGGTTCCTCTAGAGCATCGGATTCAATAGCAAGGGTTATTCAACTAAGACCGGATTCTGTAACAGAAAAGAGCATGAAAGAGACAACAACGGTTATTCTAACAGCAAGGGTTATTCAACTAAGACCGGATTCTGTAACAGAAAAGAGCATGAAAGAGACAACGGTTATTCTAATTGAATGTCAACCCGCCTATTCTGATTCACTTTACCCAATAAAGGGAAGAAGCTGGTGGAGGAATAACAGCAGCTAAATCATATGTTGCACAGTAGTACGTATTAGGCAAATGGGATTTTTCTTTCCTAGGCTGAGGAGCGTAGTCAGAGGTCTTTAGTGCCTGAATGCTTGATTTAGAGCTTAAACTAGAGGCAATCCAACAACCACATGCTCATAAGACGACTCGATAAAAGAAAGTTGCAAAAAACTGGCAAGGATATGAATCACTAGCAAAAATTAGGAGATTCAAACATAATGTGCTGGGGTTCCAATATAATATGCTTGAAGTTTATATGTACGAGCTCCATAATCTAGCATATTATGCTAGAACTTTCTGTGTAATGGAGTTCCAACATAATATGCTGGAAGTTTATACGCAGGAGCTCTATTCCAGCATATTATACTGGAACTTTCCATGTTTCAACAAAATAGTGGCTATTTTTTCATGACTTTGCAAATGTTGACTATCTTTCAATTACCAGTTCGAAAACTGGCTAGCCCGTGCTATTTTCACAAAATTAGAGCGTTAGTAAACCGAGGATTCTCATCAAATGTTAAACATTCAGAATGTTGTTAGAACAATCAAAATCGTAAAAAAATGCATCAAAATTTGGGGCATACATCAGAGGACAAGAGACAAACCACATGTATATTTCTCAAAAATATGATAGGTGACGTAAAGATAGCTATGTTATCCCTCTCTATCAGTTAATCCCAAATGGAGGGAAGACAAAGAAGAACAATAAGACTAACCCTTCTACAAGAGTCATAAGCAAGTGTTATCCTCACCTCATGATTTTAGCAAGAAGTGAATTTAGTGGTAACAACAACAACAAGCCTAATGTAATCCACAAGTGGGGTTTGAGGAGGATAGTGCGTAGGACACCTTACCCCTGCCTTAAGAAGGTAGAGAGGTTGTTTTCGATACACCCTCGGCTCAAGAAAAATAAAATCAAGAAAAGATGAAAACAAACATAGGGTGGACAGTTGGAAAAAGGCTGTGATAAAGCATCAAATGAACTCTTTGTATTAAATATAAATAAATTGGGGGGAGATTAGAGGTGTACATTCCCCTCTTGATTTTGGGAGATTAGAGGTGTATATTCCTCTGAAGCCGCAGAGTTCAGATCAAGTGACACAAACTGGTAGAACAAACAGCAAAGAGGTGCAAAGTTTTAAAAAATGAGGCATAACAACACAACAACAACAACAAAAAAAAACCCAGTGAAATCCTACGAGTGGGGCTTGGGAAGGGTAGTGAGTACGGAGACCTTACCCCTACCTTATGAGGGTAGAGAGACTGTTTCCGGTAGACCCTCTCAGAAACCATAACAACAGAGAGAAGTTCAAATGTTTTTTTCTAGTTGACTGAGAAGCAGATAGCGTGTTAAACAGCTTGGCCTAACCTCAAGTAATTAATCTTCTCTTGAATACAGAGTAGAAGAACCACCTGCAGCATGTCACAAAGCAGTTAGGAAGTGAAACGATGGACTGTGCAAGTGCGTGATCTTAAAAGTTCGAACAACGCACGATGCCTGATATACCACACAGTCACAAAGCAAAAAAGATTTTGAGTACCACATTAATTGATTTCACGAAATTTGGCTGAGTATACAGCAAGAAGGGGAAAAAATTCAGTTCATTTCTTGATTTCATCAAATTAACTCTTGAATCTACATGTCTAAAATTGTTGAAAAGGAAGTGTATGACATAAGTCCATTCTTAGGTAATCATCCAAGAAAAGGTTTCGAGAAATTCAGAACTGAATTAACATGTTGCAGAAATAGGAAATGGAAGACAACATCTGTTAAATGAAACAAGAAACATATTTTTTTGACCGCGTCAACTATTCAAAGCTGAATTCTAGGATTTGGTACTTACAAAGACATGTATGTTGTAAATCAGCACTGAGAGTATAATATTACATAAGCAGATCTCTAACTCTTAGGAAGTCCACACCACCTGTCACTGCACAAAATGTCAAATTAAAAAATATTTTATCTATTATACACACGCGCACACACACATGAGGATAAGCCAATATCTTCTGGTAATGGCCCAGAAAGTAACAGTACAGTACTGCTCAATTTCCTGACCCTTTTCCTAGTCCAAGTTCCAGTAAAGAATGTTAGATAATATAAGATTTCTACTTATTATTAAATTTCGAGAACCAGGTTCAATCCATTTGCTAATTAGCTTTTGTCAATTTAACGAGCACACTAAAGCAACAACAGCAAATGCAAACCTTATGGACAAGCCGCAAAGATCTTCTGGGATGACTTTGTAGACGCTTTGCACTTCTCAAAATTCTCCCATCATTATAATGATGAACATTATCAAATTTAAAATCATCCCTCTTTCTCTTCTTTCCTCCATGCAATAAATGCGTCTCCGGAAGCTCTCTGCCACGTGTACAAGTCCAAAAACAAAAAAAAAAATCATTGTTGTGTCATCAGATTTATAATTCAAAGCATCTTAATTTAGGAAGAGTGATTACTTTGAAGCTTCTATTCCGTTGGCAGAGCTGTCCCTTGCCTGTGAAAAGAAAGAGATCATGATGTTAACTTGTTTCAGGTTTTCATGGAAAAAATAAAAACATATCAACTATAATAAGAGAATTACGGAGACAAATTTCTACATGCTTAGTGGTCATTTTCTTATTACGTGCAAAGAAAAAAGTGGATAAATAACAGAAAATAGGCAAGCTGAGAAATGGAGGAGCTGTATAATATGCAATTTCAACTTAGTCGAGCCAATAGTAGGCGAAAAGGACAGCCGCAGAAACATCAAGGTAGAACTAATAGAAATTTGATCAAAACCAATAAACCCACATTCAATGCCAATTATCTAATTCCTTTCCCTCTTAAGGCACCACCACAGCACCACTGCTAGTAGTGTGATCTGCCATCACCATAACCGCTGCTGTTATATCCGGATTCCGGGGTCACAGCCACCTCTGTAGCCACCAGCGTATCACCTTTGCGTCTCTCACATCTGGAGCCTCAACCACCCTTATGGTATCCCTCACTCGGACCACCACCACCACCACTTGTTCCACACAATTAACTTACGGTCAAGGCTCGGGCCAGTTGTCCTCCCTATCACGTCCCTCATAGCTTGCTCATCGTTGAAGGTAATGCAGCCAAAACCACTAGATTAACCAGTCTCGCTCTTTCATGATCTTTGATTTGAGTATTTCACTAATCTGAGCAGAAGGCTCCGCATGGTTCGATTGGTGGTAGCCCATGCGAGCCCACAGACAAAGCACCTGTATTCACATTGACAGAAAACAACTTTTTGTTTTTGAGAGAGAGAGAGAGAGAGAGTGTGTGAGAGAGAGAGGGCATAAAGGGAGGAGAAATCCAAATAGAGCAAGGAGAGCTGCTTAGTAGGCATAAACTATTCCAAAATTCAATATCATTTTATCGAACTATCAGACCAGTAATAAGCTTATCAAAGTGGATAGAAACCCTACTAATGTGTGTCATGTCACAACTCACAAGTAAGAAACATGTCCACAAAAACAAATATAAACAGAATAAACTAGCCTCGAATAAAGCTGGTATGCTCAGATTGCCAACATGTTGACAAATATGAGTAATGAGGAAACTACATAAAACATACGAATGTAATTTACATAGTCCTCAACTTAACCATTCAAAGAGCAGAAACTATTTTTCAGACTGGTTGGACATCCCACTACCTAGAAAATCCAAAACAAGGAATGAAAGGCTACATAGCAAAATACACCAGATTATGCTAAGATGATATTACCCCTCCATCAGCAGATGAAGGCTTGTCCATTCTACAGCTATCCTCACAAGAATTGGGTAGTTGACTTCTTAGGCTTTCTGCTGCATCAACCAAATTTTTAAGGTAATCTTTTTCAGAAGAAGAATATGATACATGTCGATGATGACTGCCAATTTCTGATGCCTCTATCTCAGAAAAATCAGTTTCCGAAGAGAGATGAGCTAGCACCGTAAGCTTCTCCGGAGAACAAGTTCTCTGCCTTTTAGAATTGAGACAACTTACATCACGTGATTTTTTTGTTGCTGAAAATCCTAAAGCCGCATCATCTGTTTTTTCTGTATGACGTACAACATCGTCTGAATCTGTTTCCCAGAGAAATGAACTTGTCATTTGTCTATTATTTCTTAGGCATTGAATCTCCTGACAGAAACTTTGAAATTTGTGATTCTGCATATTGTTACATACACACTCCTTTTCCAATCTTCTAAAACGGTCTGATGGGCATGAATTTAAGTCAACTGAAAGGTTGATTCCATCATCCGATGAGACAGAAAACTCAAATGAAGGCACATGAGTTGACTTTACGTCAGAAGTAAATGCATTCTTGGGAAAACTTATTGGTGGACTGTGAACTCTTTGATTGAAACCCTTCTCATCACATAGGCCAGAAGAATCTTGAAGGTTGTACCAATTGCCTTCGGAAGTTTCTACATCTGCAATCTGCATCAAGACAAACTTGTATTTCAAAGATCAACCCAGGGTATATAAGCACGTGATGTAATTACCAACAAACCTTATCAAGCGTTTTCGAGAATATCGCGTCACAATACAATTTCATAATGAACTCATCATATGTATCATATGTTTAATCTCACCCAAATTTTCACATTCATTCACTACAAAAGATCGTCTGTCATCAACCCAAAGCAAACAATTACCTTGAAGTAATTGATCAAAGAATTCACGAGATTGGGTTTTGTCTTATAAGGAGACAAACCGTACTTCTTGCACAAGTCTTGAAGCTTTTTCTTGGGTAGACTGTAAATGGAATTTCGACTGTCCTTTGTCTTCATCTTCATCTCTCTGAGTGAAAACCTATCCTCACCCTGCATCGAGACAAACTGATCCTTCAGTGATCAATCCAGGTTATCTAAGAAGGTCGTGTGATAGCCAAGAAACTTATATCAGGCATTTTCTAGATGATCATATCAACAATACAATTTCCAAATTAAGTCATCTTCATATATCAGGTGTTCAATCTCACCCAAATATTCACTTTTATTCACTAAAAATAATACTATCTTTAACATCAACCACTACCAAAAAATCGAGCTTTTCCGACTGCCAAAACCGCCGGAAAATCATTGAAAATCGGTGATTTCTTGACGACTTTACGACTGTTTTGCGGTAGTCGGAAAATTGAACATCGGAAAAAGCTTTCTGACTACATCAATCGGAAATTTCCGACTACAATAGTCGGATAGTTTAAAATCTGATATGACCAGATAATGGTGGAATATTCCAATTATAGTATTCGGAAAAATAAATAAATAATTATTTATTTATTTAAACATTTCAGACTACTATAGTCGGACAGTTAAAAAATAAATAATTATTTATAAGTGATCAAAGAATTTATAAGATTAGGATGTCTTATAAGGAGATAAACCATGTTTCCTGCACAAATCTTGTAGCTCTTTCTTGGGTAGCTTGCAAATCAAATTTCCACTGTCCTTTGTCTTCTTCTCATTAAATAAGTTTATCTGCTCCCCGCATCAGCTCTTATGCTTGCTCGTTTAAGAGACCTTTACCAGGGCAAAATCATATGACTCTGGGTGAGTAAATGTTGTCAATGTGGATACTTCCTTCTAAAGAAAATATAGGAATAGTTAACACTGAGTTTATGGTTTCCTTTTCCTAAGGGCAATCAAACACATCTAACACAGGCTAACAAATTGCTTCAGAAACCAACACAACTTTTGTCATAGTTCTACCAAAAGTTTCTTATAAACTCCTTTTTTAAAGTGGTTCCTAAAAATATCTTACAAGTTAGAAAACACCATGTTCTATTTAGTATGAAATAGAAGTTACTAATTTTTTATCAACCTTCAATCCCTTCGAATTGGTGAGATTACAAGATGCACTCAAAATCCAAAACCAAGTCCAGCGGCTTCTTTAAACTAGATATAAGTTTAGACAATTTACTCACCCATTATGTACTAGAGGCACCAAATAAAGTAACTACTCAACATTTTACAAACTACTAAAGAACAAGAAGCGCCAAGACACGTACAAGCTTTGTGCTTGTTAGTCATTACCTTCTCTATTGAACTCCTCCAACAGAGGCAAAGCCAGGATATTAAATTTATGGGTTCTGAACTAGCCATCGAACTCATAGCTCGTTTAGTTATTGGGTTCACAACAAAAAAGTAATACATATTTAATAGATTTTTAATACAAATACAGGGTTTAAACAAAAGTTATTGGGTTCATACCCTAACTGATATGGTAGCTCCAGTGGCGAAACTAGGATTTTTCCCAAGGGTATTCAAATTTGGAAGAAGTGAAAAAACATTCCCGACAAAGAGTGTTCAATATGTGTTATATACCTCTAAAATGTAATATTTTACCTATATACATAGTGCAATTTTTCAACAAAGGGTGGTCAGTTGACCGCCCTTGTGACCATGTGGCTTCGCCACTGGGTAGCTCCCCCTCCAAGTCAAATGAGAATAGGTAAAGTACCCACCATATACAGTCAAACCTCTCTTAATAGCATCAATTATCCCAACAATTTTAGCTACTGTAGTGAATTATTGTTATAGAAAATATATAATATAAGATAACATGAAAAATCAGCTCCAGCTAAACTTGGTTGTTATAGTGAAATAATGTTATAACAGATGGTTGTTATAAAGAGATTTAATTGTAATATAAAAGCTCACAATTGTAAGGAAGTAATACCGTAAGTAACATAACAAATAATCAGTTGAACATATCAAAAGAAGCCAAACAAAACAGTCAAATTTGGTATACTTTTCAATCAAAATAAGACACAATGCTTTAGTACTAATCCCTCTGTTTAAAAAAGATTAACACTATTTCCTTATTAGTCTATTCCAAAAAGATTGACATCTTTCAATATTTCCTTAATAGGAACCATTTATAGTCACACAATGGTATGGTAGGTTTCACACCACAGATTTAAAAATGTTAACGGTCACACAAATGTAGGCCACATATCTCAAAAGTATTCCGTTCTTTATTAAAGTTTGTGTCAAGTTCTAACACAATTTTTTTCGAAACAGAGGAAGTCATTAATAAGTAAATCAGTAGAAAAAGACAAAAATAGTACTATTCGAAATTCAAATCGACGAAAAAGCGCCAAAACTTATTACTACTACTGCAAAAGGTAAAAACGAGTGAAATACAGAGACTTTGGATCTGTTACCTTCTTGTAGTATCAACAAATGGAGAGGCCTTGAGAAATTAAACCGGATTTGTCAGCTGGAAGTTTCTAGAAATGGGAATGGAGCAGAGCTGAAGCTGAACTAGTTGGGAGCTGGGAAGTTGAAGAGCGGGAAAGTTGAGTTAAGGGTCATCGGGTTTTAAAAACATATAGGTAAGACCCGGGCCCTTCGGATTAAGATGTTTACCCTAATTTCAAAGTTTTGAAAATGATACTTCCACATAATTTCAAACTTAGAAAAAGTAGCAATGTTTTTGGGAAAAATAACAATTTCTAAATAATACTACTCCCTACCTCTCAATTTATGTAACATTATTGGACTGATCACGGAGTTTAATACTCACTCTGTAATAATTTATGTGATACTTTTTTACTTTTCAAGATTCAAATTTCTTAGCCCCGTTTGGTCATAGATTTTGCGAAAACTTTCCAAATTTATTTTAGCAAATACCTGTTTGTTTATAGATTTAATCCATATTTTGAAAACTTTTCAAATTCCAAAATCAGCTCAAGAGCTGTTTTTGGCCCAAAATATTACCGTTTGATTTTTTAAAAATTTTAAAAATTACCCCAAACTTTTGTATCTTATAAAAAAAAAAGTTTACTTTCTATTATTATGATCCACATAATCCATATCTACCCATTTTTTCTCATTAAACTCACGCGGCTTTGCCCTTCTCTATAAACAGAAGAAAACATTCGCCAAAGTTGTTGTGTCAGTTTGCAGCAATGCACCAGCAAAGACAAAATTTGAAGATAATTTGCTAAAATCTGCTAACGTTTGTATAAATTTTCTTCAGATTTATTTCGCTTGTTTTGTATGAATTTGCTTTAGAGTTGTTGATATTTTTGATAGTTTTTAAAACTTATGGGTATAAGTCATATTTCATGTTTTTTCCAAAAAGAAAAGTGAAATATGTTTTGAAAAATTATGTCCAAACAGATTTTTATCTTCAAACCAAACTTCACCCAAATCAGATTTTTAAAAATAAATTTGGGAATCTATGGCCAAACACTAGCTTAATTTTGATTGTTCAGTTGGACATAGAATCTTTAACTTTGTTGAAATAAAATTTATATATTTGAAAACTATGTAAAAAGCATTAAAAGTCACAACAGTTAATAAATTAAAATATTTTAAAAGTATATAAAAAAATTACAGTTAACGATTAATTCGTTTGACTTTTGAAATTCGAATACTATCACTAAGGATAAAAAAATTAAAAGTAATTTATGTTAATATAAAAATATGTTATTATTTTTAGACATATTTAAAATGATAGAAAACTATCACATTAATAGGGACAAAGGGTTTTCACATATTTTCTAAGTATTTTCCTTCTAACTACAAACATTTTAACATTCTAACTACAAACAGTGACGGATCCAGGATTTTAAAGTCGTGGATGCTCAATTACCGATAACAGAGACTTACTACAACCGCAAATTATAATTACACAATTATATTGTACACGGGTAAAACCGAGCTCGATATTCGATCTCGCTTCCAAGACTCCCTAATTAGGTCGGGGTCAAAATATATGTGATCGGATAAGGTCGAGCTCGAAAATTGATCTAACGATACAATCAGCCAAGATCGAAATATGGTGATTGAGATCAAACCCAAAGCATTGTCGAAATTAGCCATCGAGACCATCGGATTTGCCCTCAAGTTAACCAAAGGCATAACCGATCTCGTTTCTAGCGGTCTCGAAAAAAACTTTGCCAACTCATCCGACAAGTGTCCGTAATTCTCGCCATTAACCAAATATTATGGCAAAAATTACGGAACGGCTCAAAAATGGAACCAACGGTCAGCAAATCAAGGACTTTTGCCTTTTATAGAACAATAAAATAATACCTTAAAAGGTATATCTCCCCTAATATATAAAGGGGACTTGACAAATCATAAGAGACACTGTAACATACACTAATAAGCTATACATTCTCTAAGTTCTTACTCTTGGATATTTTGGTGTCAAATAAAGTGCATTCAATTCAAGGGTGGCCTACTTTCCTAAGCCGAAATCATCCAACTCGTGTGGTTTACGATTAATCTATCGTTATTTATTTCAATTGCAATCTAATTTATTGCTTTGTATCAAGTTAATCCGCATATCTTTTAAACCACTAACAAATTCAATTGTTATCCGATTTTGAGGGTAAATAGTTTAGCGCCCACCATGGGGCTAAGTATAATAGTGGTTATTTGATATAAATCTCCATAACACACACTACGTTACGCTTGCTCTTTGAAGTGTCTATCAGGCTAAAAATGTCAAACTCTCAATTAGCACCCATACATATCTATAACGAGTCCAGTCATCAGGGTGAGAATAACAACATGGCGCCCGGTAACGTAGGGTTACCCGTTGGTCCCATTGGGATTCCCGATTACAGATTCGATTGATGTTAATTCACATGTGGCCATCGATGCAAACCTACCTACTGACCCCGAAAATAGCGTCCGTGGTGGGGCCCGATCGGCAGCTCAAAATACACAAAATAATCAAGAAGACGGAATCAACCTACGGGTGATCTTCGAAATGTTCCAAGATCAACAGGTGGCGATAGCTCCGTTGAAGAGTCAAAGTCAGGCGCCGAGCATGGTTGAACCCGATCCGCCCCGTGAAGTCACCCGCAGAAATGAACCGGTCGTAGTAAGGTCAAATGAGCAAGAATCGGGTACTAACCCCGATATTATAAAGATGCTCGAGGAGCTGACAAAATGAATAGAATCAGGGGAAAAGAAAATCGAAACGAACAACAAAAAGGTGGAAACCTACAATTCGAGGGTAGATCAAATCCCAGGAGCACCTCCTATACTGAAAGGACTGGATTCTAAGAAGTTCGTGCAGAAACCTTTTCCTCCAAGCGCGACTCCGAAGCCAATCCCTAAGAACGTCTGTATGCCCAAAATACCTAAGTATAACGGAACGACCGATCTAAATGAGCATGTAACCTTTTACACATTCGCCATCAAAGGGAACGACTTGGAAGACGACGAGATCGAGTCTATTATACTGAAAAAATTTGGGGAGACCCTGTCAAAGGGAGCTATGATATGGTATCACAACTTACCTCCTAATTTTATTGACTCATTTGCTATGCTTGCAGACTCCTACATAAAAGCACATGCTGGTGCCATCAAGGTCGAAACCAGGAAATCAGATCTTTTCAAAGTTAAACAGAAGGATAATGAGATGATCAGGGAATTCTCGTCCCGTTTTCAAATCAAACAAATAGATCTACCGCCAATCGTCGATGATTGGGCTGTTCAAGATTTCACTTAGGGACTCAATATTTGAAGATCCGTGGCTTCACAACAACTAAAGCAGAATATGATAGAATACCCTGTCGTTACCTGGGCCGATGTACATTACTGGTACCAATTGAAAATCAGAGTCGAAGATGACCAGCTTGGGACCCCTTCGGAGTCTGTTTATCCCGTCAGAATCTTCGATAGAGTCAAGAGAGACATTAATCGTGAACTAAGATCAAACATGGATCGATATCTTCCATATAATGAAGATCGGAGGAGCAGTGGGTACGGATGGAACACCATAAGAAATGAAAGGAGAAATGACCAAGGTCGAAGCAATCGGGGGCTCATGACCAAAAACAGCTTCTAAAAGGTCCATCGGGCCTAAAGAAGCGCCAAGGCTATCGGAATACAACTTTAATGTCGATGCTGCAGCCATCATATCAGTTATCGGGCACATCAATGATACTAAATGGCCTCGGCCTCTACAATCCGAACCAACTCAAAGGGACCCTAACCAGATGTGCAAATATCATGGCACTCGCGGTCATAGAACGAAAGATTGTCGACAATTGAGAGAAGAAGTAGCCCGTTTATTTAACAATGGACACCTTCGAGAATTCTTGAGCGACCGAGCCAAGAACCACTTTGGGAACAGGGATTCTAACAAATAGACAGAATAAGAGGATACCGAACCTCAACATGTCATAAATATGATCATCGGTGGAATCGATATCCCACAGGGGCCGATGTTAAAACGCACCAAAGTATCCATCACTAGGGAGAAACGAACCCGAGACTACATACTAGAAGGAATTTTATCTTTCAGCGACGAGGATACGGAAGGGATCGTACAGCCTCACAATGATGCACTGGTAATATCTGTACTCGTAAATAAAACTCGAATTAAACGTGTGTTGATTGATCCAGGTAGCTCGGCCAACATCATTCGGTCGAGGGTCGTGGAGCAGCTCGGTCTACAAGGCAAAATCGTGCATGCGGTCCGAGTTCTAAACGGGTTCAACATGGCATGTGAAACCACCAAGGGGGAGATACTGTTACCGGTTAATACCACCGGAACTATACAAGAAGCCAAATTTTATGTGATCGAAGGAGACATGAGGTACAATGCCCTTCTCGAAAGGCCATGGATCCACAACATGGGGGCAATGCCCTCAACTCTTTACTATGTGTTAAAATTCCCAACTCCGAGGGGGGGGGGATTAAGACAATCTACGGGGAATAATTGGTCGTAAAAGAGATGTTTACAGTCGAAGAAGTGATTCCAATATCAATACTCGCAACATCGAAGGAACCGAATTCGGGCGCAAACCAAGAGGCCAAATAGCAGTCACTGATACCGGCCACACCGGGAAAGCAAGAGACTTATGAACACGATGATTACAGGGTTCCTCAGTCTTTTATAATCGCTGATAACTCCAATGTAACTAAATCAACGGTCGAAGAGCTGGAACAGGTTATATTGGTCGAGCATCTGCCCGATCGGAAGGGGTACCTGGGCACGGGGAAGAGCTCAGGAAAAACTTATTCAATTTCTTGTAGCTAACATAGATAGTTTTGCTTGGTCCCATCTTGATATGACAGGGATCCCACCGGAGATAACCACTCACAAGCTAAGCCTCGACCCAAAAATCAACTCGGTCAAGCAGAAGAGGAGGCCTCAGTCCGAGGTCAAACACACTTTCATCAAGGATGAGGTATCTAAACTCCTTAAAATAGGGTCTATTCGGGAGGTTAAATACCCGGATTGGTTAGCAAACGTAGTGGTAGTCCCTAAAAATGGGAATAAACTAAGAATGTGTGTAGATTACAAAG